TTCAACATCTACACTCAGCTTGTTCTTTCTAAAATTCAAGCTTGCGCAAATTATTCAACACTCTTATGCTTTTCTGGCAAGATGTTCTGAGATTTGGGGGTTCAAAAAATTGACACGCGTGTTGAGAGCTCACTTGTGAAAAAGATATCAAGCTTTTCTTTGGTGTGCCATCATAATTAAATGTCACTTTAGGTAAAGAGGGTCGCAGTTTTAGGTGTCCAGGTCGGCCGCGTTTAACACATCTTCTCTCGATACGTTCCTAAATATATTTGTCAATCTCGCACCGTTCTTTTACGAAGGAATTAATCAGTTTAGCATACCGTGCACAAACAAACCTATTTGCGGTTTAGTCAATAGCAAAGTAAAGTACATAGTATCTTTCTCTCTTCGGTAAGAGAAGTGGACGCTATTGTAGATTCGTTTGGGATCTCCGATGATAAGTAGTGGCCGTAATTTGACATTCATAGCACAAGCAATGAACAATCAATATTTTTAGTATTTATTATATTCTTATACAAACCCGCCTTTGTGAACTATAAATTTCCGGAGGAAATCAGAAATAAATGACATGGAACTCGCAGACTTCATCAAGATGATGGAAACAAAAAATAGGAAATTGCTAAATATTGTACTGTAATAACTGTATTATATACGAAATCCAACTACAATTCAGCAAATATATCACAGGGCTTAGTTTTATAGCTAATCTACTTTAACCATGAAGATGATAAGCTCTTTATCCTTCGCCTGTATTTGTATAGCGTCGGTCCTGAACTGTGGGGTCGTAGCGCAGGTGAGTTATTAGTTATCAGAGTATATCATAGTTTTGAATACTGTTGCAGAACTTATCAAAGGTGTATTATTCATGTTTACTATATCAATAGTGAACGTCAATTGTGACGGACAGCGTATTTTTACACTGGGACTTCGTCCAAAGATACAACTATCTAGTGGCTCGGTATCTGTAACAGAGTATTGAGTGTATGTCCAGTATCTTATACTTGTCTTGGGGTCACAAGTACCACGAACGCTTGGGGTTAGTTCTGCTTTGAAGAGAACGTGTGTGGACACAAGCACATATACAAACACAAACAAACAAAACATGTGTACACACATGCACGTGTACACACACACACACACACCAAAAAAAAGAACACACATGCACACATATTCATATACATACACATACACATACGTGTGTGCACACATATACACATACAAATATATATCTACGTATACATACACACACATATGCACACATATACACTTACACATACATATACACACACACATACAAACACAACCACACACAAATACACACACGTACAAACCATTTCGTGTACGCACACGCATGCGTCCAGGTACACACA